CTGGCCTTTCGCTATGGTATTGCATTTTAGCCAATGAGCGCGCTTTCTGCCACCCAGTCGTTACGGGCCAGTTGGCAAACCGAGACGACGATGGCCGAGAGTCCGAGCCTGCGGACGCTGGTCCAGACCAACCTCCTCGAGAAGATGATCAAGGCCACGAGCGTGGCCTCGCGCAGCTGGGTCGTCCTCGTGCTCGACGACGCGACGACGGCCGTCGCCTCGCCCGTGGTGCGCATGACCGACCTCACGGAGCGCGGGGTCTCGATCGTCGAGCGGCTCGAGCTCGCACGGCAGCCGTTCCCGGAGATGGCGGTGATCTACTTTATCGCGCCGTCGTCGATTGACAAGGTCCTCGCCGACTTCAAGGCCCCGGACAAGCCCATGTACGGGTCCGTCCACATCTTCTTCAACGCCCGCGCCACGTCCGACGACGTGGCCAAGTTCAAGGCCTGTCCCGCCCTCTTGCCGCGCCTGCGAACGCTCAAGGAGGTCAACGTCGACTTCCTCGCGCTCGAGCGCGCGGCCTTCTCGCTCGATATGCCGAACGCACTCCATACGCTGTACTCGCCGCACGCGGCCCTTAGCGTCGATCCGCTGCTCCAGCGCATGAGCGCGCAGCTTGTCACGGTCTGCGCGACCCTCGAAGAGTACCCGTACGTGCGCTACAAGGCCGGGCAGCAGAAAATGGAGGTGCTGGCTCGTCTTTTCCAGGCCAAGATGAACGAGTACGTGGCGTCGAACAGCTCGTTTGCCTACTGCCCATCTCGATCGACGCTGCTCTTTGTCGAGCGCTCGCAAGACCAGCTGTGCCCGCTCGTGCACGAAGTGACGTACCAAGCCATGGTCTACGACCTCCTCGACGGCGCGGGGCTCCAAGGCGACGCGATTAGCTACCCGGCCGAGACGCAGACGGGCACAGTGACCAAGCAAGCGCTTCTGAACGAGCACGACGCGCTCTGGACCGAGCTGCGCCACACGCACATTGCCGTACGATCGTATCTTGATACTTTTGGTCGTTGATACATTGATACTTTTGTAGGAAGTGAGCAAGGACATTGGCGGACGCATGGCGGCGCTCTCGTCGTCCAACGCCGGCACGTCGCTGCAAGGCAAAGGCAAGGCACCGGACGTGAGCCAGCTCGCGGCCGCCCTCCGAGAGCTACCTGAGTTTCGCGATACGCTGAGCAAGCTCTCGCAGCACCTGTACCTCGCCGGCAAGACGCTGGACGAGTACACAAAGCACAACTTGCTCGGCGTCTCGACTCTGGAACAGAGCCTTGCGACCGGCGTGGACGAAAGCGGCAAGAAGATCAAGCTCCCCAAAGTCCTCAAGGACATGGAGGACCTGCTGGGGGATCCCAAGATTCCAGCGTCGGACAAAGCCCGACTGCTCGCGATCTTTATCATTACGCAGGTGCGTTCGACGGTTGCGCTATCGACGCTACAGAGTCGGGTAGGACGCGGCCAAAGACGCCGACCGCCGCAAGCTCTTCCAGATCGCGCAGCTGCCGGTCGTGACGGACAAGGCGCTGCAGAACATGAAGTACCTCGGCGTCTTTATGCAGAAGATTGCAGTCGTCTCGAACGCGACGGGGCACAACTTGACGTCGGACGAGATCAAGGAGTCGGCCAAGAAGGCGACGAGCGCCGAGTACGCCACCGCCCGCTACGAGCCCAAGCTCAAGGGCTGGATCGACAAGCTCCTCAAGAAGACGCTGGATGCGACCGAGTTTCCCTATGTGATTGCGCCGCCGCCCGCAAGCAGCGCGAGCAGCGGCAGTCCCACGGCCGCTAAGAAGGCAGAACCAACGTCCTTGCGCAAGTATGCAGCGCCCGCGACCGGCCTCTCGTGACCATTGAAATCGTAGGAAGATCGCAGCCAAAGTCACGGGCAAAGCCTCGGATGCTACGTCGTCGACGGTAGACCATTGCATCTGCCCTTGCGCTTCACCACAGAATGTAGACCAAGGATGCGTTCACAGGCGAGAAGCTCATTGTGTTCATCGCGGGTGGTGCCACGTACTCGGAGGTAGAACGCGATCTTGTCACCCTCTTGTACTCACCTTGTGTAGCTTCGCAGCGTGTATGAGGTTCGCCAACACGAAATGCGCGACGTGGTCTTGGGTATGCTCTTCGATCCTGCAGCTTGTCGCGCGAGCGCTGTGCTTGTAGGATCGACGTCGTTCTTGCGCCCCAAGGCGTATCTGGAGAGCTTGGTGACGCTTGAAGACGTCACGCCGCCCGTGCTCAAGCCCATCGAAGCGCTCGTGCACCCGTCCGAGATCCAGCTCGAGAGCGTTGCCCTCGGCGACGCCAAGCGCTAGGCGATCACGTCGCGATGTCGTGTGAATGTATGATGGCTGGATCCGCTGTGTGGTGGCTACCACGCGTGTCGAGAGACTTTTCGCGTTGCACGGAACCAGCGCAAGTACAAGTCCAGCATCGGCTCGTGTTGGCTCGGCTTCTCGTCCAGTGGTCCTAGTGCTCTGTTAATGTATTGCACGCAGGACAGCACAGCTGGCCCGACTTGGATCGGAGATGGGCCATGGCCAGCACAGCAGCTTGGTGTGGCGCCTCGATGCCATCAAACATGGTGCAGTCTACGAGGAGACGGCTCTGCCCAACGCCAACGAGTGGACTGCATGGCGACGCTGCTGGGGCCATTCGTTTGAGATCGCAGTTGGCTCCATCGTTCGACCAGCGTCGCGAGGTGGTCGCAACGTTGGCGTGACGTCGACAGTGGTTGGACATGGGTGTGGAGGCCTTTAGTCGTCAGTGGCAAAACTCCAAATCCATCGGCTTCTTCGATGCGATGAAGGTCGCAACGGCGCGGGGCAGTCGTATGCGCTGACGAAGGCCATTTGGTTGCACACGGACCGGCCGACGCCGATGTGGATGCACGGGTCGCTGGCCAGCGATCTATGGGCCGTTGCAAGCAACGACAGCGGTGGCGCGTCGCTACTTCAAGCCAGTGCCAACGTTGCCAACGCCAACGCGCCCGAGCAGTATGGCTTGGACATCAAGTACCTCGTCACGACGAGCTCGGAGACGCGCGAGTGACGCAGGTACCGGGGTGAGGACCAGCAACCAAGTCGTTCGCGTTCACGGCACGTCAGTGCATCAGCCAGTGCACATGCCTTTAGTGCCGCACGATCCTCGTCTCTTCAAGGTCGTCGTGAGCTCTCTTGATCATCCCCATGGTCGCATTCGGCGTCCAAAACACCAAGTATCAAGTTGATACAAAAATCATGAGCGGCAGCAATGTGACACTATCGAGCGTTGAGCAAGTCCACGAGAAAGAGTGCTCAAGTAGACCGCGGTCAAAAGTTCTCAACGTACACAAACCGTCCAAGCAATAATAACACCAAACGCACGGCGTTTGTGCTTACTACGACGACGGCAGGTGGAGCTCAGGGTGCAGCTGGTGGAGGTCGGCCTGCCGTGCGTTTGAGAGCACGACGTGGCCGTTGTGCAGCTGCTGCACCAAGTGACCGAGCGGCACATGATCGGCCGTGCTATAGTCGAACGGAACGCTCACATGTCCGTGGTCACGGGAAAAGATCTGCAGCGCACGTGCAAAGACGACCCAGTCGGCCGGATCGGCCAAGCAATCGATGGGCGGCGCGGCGGTGAGACACTGGAACTGGTCGTCTTCCCAAGGGGCGCCTGCATCGTCGCCACTGCTGTCGTCGGGCACCATCACCACAGTCTTGGCCGCCGGCGACGATTCTGGCGACACGATCCGTCGAGGCGAAGAGACGGCGATTGCATCGTTGGTTGGTGTTGCTGGCAGCGACCACGGCAGCCGAGTGCTACGGTCATCCTTCGTGTCTCGCAGCGCATCAATGGTCGCCCGCGTCACTCGAGGCAGCAGCCGCAGCTCCCACGCGGACTCGAGTACCGCGGTCCAGTGCCCGAGTGCCATACGGTGCAGATGCGGTGGCCACGCGGCGGTCGAAGGCACCATGTACGTCGGCGGTACAGACGTCGAGCCAAAGAGCTTCTTGTACATTTGCAAGCCCGTCACGATGCGCGCCCACGTCTCGTCCACGTTGAAGACGATGCCGGTGGCTCGCAGTTGCACCGCCTTGCGCGTGTCGAGGGCCCACACTTTTAAGCCCAGTCGCCACGCGAGGTCGCCGAGCGCCAAGCCGCGCCACGCCCGCGGCCACTCGCCGCCGACCATTGGCACGGAAAAGTCGCGGGCCACCGCGCACGTGCCAGACGTGGAGCGGTACAAGCGCAGCAGCGCGACGACGACGTCAAAGTCGGGCAGGTCGCGCGCCACGTCGAGCGTTCGCGCCCACTTGACGTCGACATCATTGAGCTCGTAAAAGCGGGCCTGGAGCGCCGCGACAGCGCTCGGAAGGACCAGGTGATGCGTCGGCGCAGGCCACATGCGGGGGTCGGCCGGGACGACAAAGCCAGGCAGAATGTCGACGGGGCCAAAGAGGCGACGAAATGCGAGGAGTGCTTGGAACACGGTCTGCAACGGCATGAGGCGCGTGACCATGCTGATTTCGCCCGGGTACCGCAGAAAGCAGCGCAGGACCGCGTGCGTAGGGTGCCAAGGAAACCCAATCGCTTCGAGGGCGACCTCCTGCTCGGGCGAGAGTGCGTCGGTCGTCGCGCGCATCGCAGCGACAACGTCTCCGAGGCACATGCCGTACAAGTGCACCGGGTAGTGCACCGGCACAAAGTACTTTTCGGGAACTACGAGGTGCCCGTGGTCTGCGCGGAACCAGCAGAGCGCTTCCAACGTCCTGCCAAAGGCATCGTTGTGACGAGCGCACGCAGCAATCGAGTCAGAGATCGGAGGCGGTAACTCGGGTGCGACGTCGACGGGACAATCATCGACACGAGCTTGTGGCGACCGTGCCATATGCACGTCATCGGTGTCGTTTGCGGGGACACGCGGTGCCTCGTGCCAGGAAAATCCGAGCGCGTCCAGCGTCGCCTTGAACGGCGCATCGATGGAGGGTGCTTTTGCAGCAACCGAACGACGGCGCCGAGTTGCAGACCATGACACGAAGATCGCCACGGCGACTTTGTCGGTACAGTAAAGGTATGTGGCACGCCGGTGTGGCCATAGATCGAGCGGAATGTCTTGAGCGCGTCGACGACGACCGCCCATAATGTCGCCGCGCGTGGCGCCTCGGTGGCCATACCCGTGACGTCCAGTTACGTTGTTGGCGGCAGCATCTGCGCCGTCAGTGCTTGCTTCAAGAAGCCACAAAACCGGCCAAGCTGTAGGCCACGAAGGTCTTGCGGCCACGCGGGCTCGTCCGGCACGACAAACTTTGGCGGTACCTCGATACATCGGTGCAGGCGGTGGTATTGCTGCAGCCCGTCGACGGTCCGGCGCCAGGTCGCCGGCGAGTTGAAGAGAAACCCCGTATCCGCCAACTGCTGCGCCTTCTTGGCCTCGAAACCAGCCATGAGGAGGCCGACGCCATGCGCGATCTCGCCAAGCGGCGCTCGGTGCCACTCGGTGGGCCATGCGCGCGTCGACGGCACGCAAAAGTCCAGGCCGACCCCGCCGTGACCAAACTCTGTCTTGAAACACTCAAGGAGCTCGAGGAAAGCCGGCCACGACGGTAAATCCGAGCAAAAATCGAGTGCGTGGAGATCCGCCGCTTCGTTTGTGCTCAGATCGTAAAAGTGGTGTCGCAGCAGCGTCAGCACGGGCTTCAGGACGATACCTGCAGCGTCCGAGGGCCACGGAGCGCCGAGAGGAACGGCGTAGCCAGCGGGGACGTCCAGATGGCCCGTCTTCGCCTTGTAGGCACGAAGCGCTGCAATCAGCACGGAAAACGTCGCTACTTTGAGCGAGAGGGACGTCGTGACCGAGATCGCGCCGGGTTTGAGCTGCCAGAGAAACCCGAGGGCGTCCAGCGCCGCCTTCTTCTCGGGCGGCAACAGATGCCGTCGGTGCCGCAATAACGCGGCGTACGTCCCGAGCAACCACCCGCCCAAGGGAGCGGGCCACCGATCGTCAAAGAACTCGACGACAAAGTCCCGCGGGATCGCGAGGTTCCCAAAGAGGCGGCGGTACAAAATGAGCGCGTCGACCTTCTCGTCGTCGATGCCTCGGTGATCGACCCGCCGGCGCTTGCGCGAGGGCGACAGCGGTCGCGGCTCGTAGCGTAAGAGCGCCGGTGTGACTTCGGGCGGCCGCTCGAGCAGCTCGCCGAGTGCTTCGAACGTCGCCTTTGGCACCAGTAGCTGCGCCACGGCCTGTCGGAGCTCGGGTACGTAGCGTCCGAGGCGCAGTCCCCGCCACGGTATGTCCCAGTCATCGGGCACGACAAAGTCGCTTGGCACGTCGGCGGATCCGAATTTGGCAACATACTCGCGGAGACCACACACGACGCCTGCTCACGTCGCAGGCGTGTGAAAGATGACGCCGAGCGCGTCGAGCTCCGGCAGCATGCCACGTGGCAGCACAAGTCGCTTGCGACCAAGGTACCAAGCGACCTCGCCAAGAGCCACGTGGTGGAAACGGGGTGGCCATGGCGCTGCCGATGGCACGACAAACTCGATCGGCACGGCGCGTTGATTCGTGATCTTGACGTAGAGCGCGAGGAGCTGCTTCGTGTCGTCCCAATGCGGCAGCTCGGTGCAGAGCGAAAGGTTGTGCACCGTCGCCACGTCTGCGTCCGAGAGCTCGTAAAAGTGAGCGCAAAGCGTCTGCGCGGCGCGCGAGAGAAGCACGTTGGATCCTTCTTCGGGCCACGCAGCATCGTTCTCTGGCACGACAAAGGCGTCGGGCACGTTGAGATGCCCGTGGCGATGGCGGAAGGCGACAAGGGCCTGGACGAGCGCGGACAGCGGGACGTGGCGGACGCAGTACGCGCCGTTGAAGCGGACGACGCAGCGGTGCATGCACCGGGGCGGCGGCGACCATTCGTAGCCGATCGCATCGAGCTGCGCAAAGCAGTTCGGCTCGTACATGATCGCATAGCTGTGGCCGGGACCACGTAGCCGGTTGGGACGCGGCAATAACCGTGGAGGTAGCGGTAGATGGTCCATGCTTGGAGCTGGGCTGCGCACGGCAGCGTCATCGTCGCCGTCTTCAATTGAACATCGTGTCATTGTTTTAAACATGTTTCAAACAAGTGTTACGATGCAGCCGCGTCCATCCGCTGCCGCGAGTCGGTCGAGTCGATGGCTCGCTGCCTCAGCACCGCTAAGTGCTTGCTACTTGCTAGCACCTTTGTTGCATAGCAATGGCGCTGGCAGAGGGCGCTAGCAGAGCCACGTGCGTCGCGTCGCTTGGGGTTGATCCCACGGCAAGCAAGTGAAAGTCACCGTTGCGAACGTCGGGAGCAGCTCTCTCGGATATCGCTCGTGACGCAGGCTTTTGCGCACACGATTGCGGACGTCCACCTGGCTGCCAAGCAGCTAGAGCTTGATCGCAGCACTGGAAGGTTCAAGTCGATCTTCAACCAAATATCGAAGAATCGATCAACTTGGATGGGTTTCCCGCCAAACCAAACCAAACGATCAATGAACTGCAGACTTCTTCCTTATTAACCTCTCGGCCCGCGAGACGCATGAGGGCGGCGACCACCGAGCCGCTCGACGGGGTCGCAGCATGGTGTTGTCTTCGACCCGTCGACATGAGCCTATGGACGTCCACTGCATCGGAACAAGAAGACGCCACGATCCACTGTTTCGGATGCCACGCCGAGCGCTTCCACGGCAAGGCCATCGACACTCCGGTCGTGCCACCGCCTTTTAAGGCGATACGACATGTTGTCCAAACTCAACGCCGTCAACACGGTACTGCCGACCATGCCGATTGGTCGCTCGTCGTACCGATCCATTCGTGTTCACGTCGACACACAATAAAAATGGCACCACCGAATACTTTAGTCGATTCGTTCTACAGCTACTCAAGCCCAGGGGATGACAACCATTGACTCAAGCCAAAATGCTGCGCACGCCTACCAGGTATTACTACAACGACCTAGTCGTTTCTCCCAGTTGCAACATTGACTAAAAAGGCGGGTGAAAACGCATTGGCCAATCACAGCGAAGAACGCCATCCACCAAAACAAACCGAGGGCCATGACGCTCAAGCGCCCGCTGTCGCCGCCGGCCAAGCCGCGCCGCGCTGGCACGGCCATCGACGACGACGCATGGCTCGACGTGCTCTTGGCGCTCAAGGTCTACCGCCTGCTGTACGGCCACTGCAAGGTGCCTCTGTCCTACTTTGTGCCCCGCCTCGACCACACGCCGACAGCGTGGCCGTTGCATTTGACAGGCATGCACCTCGGCGCCGCCGTCAAGACGCTGCGCACGTGCTACCTCCCCGAGCACTTCGTCTCGGCGCTAAATGCAATCGGGTTTGTGTGGCGCCAGGACGGTCGTCTCATCCCAACGGGCACGTCGCTCTTTGACGAGATCGACGCAGTGCCGTTCGCGGCCATGATCACAGCACTCGAGGTCCACGTCGCGACGCACCAGACGACGAAGATCCCTGCGCACGCAACGTTCGTGCATACGAGTGTGTGGCACCGGTCCTGGACGTACGTTCTCGCCGACGTGGTGCCGGCGCTGGAAGCGCATTTCTACCAGCTCTCGGACGTGCAAATGACCCGTCTCCGTGACCTCGGCTACTGCAAGCAACTGCCGCTCTGGGACGACCTCATGGACCTCCTCCAACGGTATTACGAGCACGTGGTGCCGCCGGGCAGTGGCGTCGCGATCGATTTTGTCGTGCCACCAGATGCGATTGCGTGGCCAAGCCAGTGGCACGGTCTCGAGCTCGGGCTGCTCTTCTGGTCCGTCGGTCTCACACACACAACGACGTTGTCCGAGAGTCGACGGCGCGATCTAAAGACGCACAAGTTTGTCTTCAACACGGTGCACACGTGGGCCAAGGTACTCGACGCGCTCACGACCTACGACAGCGTGAGCATGAAGCCGTCGTGCTTTGAGATGTGGCGCTCGTATGTGACGCCGACGTCGGCGCCGTGGCCTGAGGCGCTTCGTGGCTACCCGCTCGGCCGGTGGTACAAGGTCATGTGCGACGCTGAGACCAACTTGCTCTTGCCGTATCTGACTCAAGATGCGCTCGTCGGCCTCCGCGGCGGTCTCCGGCTGCTGCCCCAAGAGCTCATGACCGAGTCGACGACAGCACAGGCCTACTGGGACGCATTTCTCACCGCGTACAGGTGCATCTGTGCGAACGCGGCGACGATTCCGCCCAAGTTTGTCATGCCGAGTACGGAGAGTGTGCCCAAGGTAGCGCATGGCTTTTTGCTCGGCGCGGCCATCGCCTCCGTGCGCAACCACGTCCTGTTGCACCCGGCGCACCGAGCGGCGCTCGACAAGCTCGGTCTCGCGTGGTCGACCTCGGTGCCAGAAGCGGCGGCTACGGAGCCAGTGGAGATCGTGGAATGGGTGCCGACGCCACGACGCCGATACTACCGGTGGCCAGACAAGATGCGTGCGCTTGAAGCTTTTAAGGAGCTGCATGGCCACTGCGGCGTGCCCACGGCATTTGTTGTGCCGTCGAGCACCGAGTGGCCTGAGGACCTGCACGGCTGTCGCCTTGGCGCCTTGGTGTCTCGGTTTTTCGCCGAGCCGCGCTCGGTGCCTGCAGATTATGCGCCGTTGATCTCAGCGCTGGGTGTTGTGTCGGTGCCAGGCGACACGATCGTCGCGCCCAGAGTCGACGCCGACGGCACGGTGGTGAAAGCCTTTGCTGGCTCTGACGCTGACACGGCAAGCGATTCCAGCGACGCGCCCATGGACGTCACGACCCATGATGACGTTACTGTCACGGACGGCGAGCATTTGACCGACGCCACCATGGTCGCTGTCAGCACAGATGACGCCGACGAGGACCCTCCAGTCGACATGTCTGACGACGCCTCGGACAATGACGACGACGTCTCGGACAATGACGACGACGCCTCGGACAACAACGGTACATTGCGCCGGCACTGGCAGCAGCACTCATGTCGTAACGTAGAAGTTCTGTGTGGTTCGCTTCCACCAGTGTCTTCCCCTGTCGTTCATCGCGAGCCCGAGCCCGACGCGCCATCATGGACCACCACGTGTGCACTGAGCCACAGCGCCCAAATGACACAGGAGGCGGCCAACGTGTACTATGAGCTGACGGGCCATCGTCACATCTCGAGTTCGTTCCGCGTACCGCCCGACGACATGCGCTGGCCGATGCACCTCTGGGACTGGCCACTGGGCCAGGCGTGGATGCACTTGCACCGGCGTGCGCCGTCTCTCAAAGTGAATTGGGACGCGTTGCTCCTGGCGCTTGGAATCTACGCGCGCGCGACCGGCCATGGTCATGTCCCTCGCCACTTTGTCGTGCCCGACGATGAACGCACGTGGCCGGTGCACCTCACGGGCTTTGACCTCGGCGAGCTTGTGCATTGCATTCGGTCGGGTCGCGTCACGCTCTCGCACGCCCACGCCGTCGCTCTCTCGGCCATGGACTTTGAGTGGACCGCACCGTAATCGTAATCGACCTCGTTGCAAGTTACGCCGTGTTGCAGTGAACGACTGCGTGCACTGACCGCCTAGCGTTGGACCTTGACAGCTCTATTAGCAAAGGCCGTCGACCTGCAACAGAGATTGAGACGGCGTTCCGAATCATCGACACCTACTGCAGCACATCGGCACCCTTCGAAGACCACGTTGCTCGTCCGTGGAGAAAGGCCAAGTTCCGGTTTGAACCCATTTCCTGTGTTCGGCTTGAGCGGCATGGTATGGAGACACATTTGATCCTCCAAAGGTGGTGGTGTATTGGAGCTATGGAGCTCGCCACCGTCGACGTGTGGGTCCTGTTGCTCCGTGAACTACAGTAACTGCACACGGTCTATCGGACGTGCAAGGGATGCACACCGGTACTCTGCATACCGTACAGTAGGTGGACGGGGTCTGCTGCTAATACAGCGAGCGTTGCCGCACCTGGGTTCCGGAACCAGATTTCGGCACGGCTTGGAGCGGCACCCAGATCGCCCGCTGCGTTACCAGGGCAAAGTCATTTTACATGTTTGCTGCTGCTGGTCCAATTCGCTGGTCCTCCTTGGACGAGCGTAGACAGTCCAGAGCGTGACCAACAAAAGCCATCCCACGGTGTGGCGCTGACCCATTGGCTGCGATGGTGGTGATGATTCAGGCCCTCGTGCATGGCTACATCTGCGCGAACAAGATGGCGCCTGGTCGTGCAACTGGCGACAACGAAAAGCTCACTTCACATTTTCTACCATGCAGCTCACACCCCTCCTTCTCTTGGCCTCTGCGTCAGCCATCGCTGCGGACGCAGCACTCCGCGGCGCGGCTACCGGCTCGGGCGCCAGCGAAGTCGAGACCCCCGTCCATGGCAATGAAGAGGCGGGCTCGCTCATTCGCGGTTGGCGCAACCTTGAGGACAACGACGACAAGGAAGCCGGCTCGCTGATCCGCGGTTGGCGCAACCTTGAGGACAACGACGACAAGGAAGCCGGCTCGCTGATCCGCGGTTGGCGCAACCTTGAGGACAAAGACAATGAGTAATTTGATTGTCCCTTCCGGCGTTGGAGGGTCAAGTACTCTAATGTTTTAAGCTCTGTTGCACTCTGTCTGTGTCGACTCTGTCGTTCGCTAGGCGTCTTAGTAGCTCGAGGTGGAAGATTGCATCGGGCAACGGAATTCTATCTTGTGCGTGGTACAGCTTGACTAACAACGACTGTGGTAAACGGCAAGCCCTCTCTTATTAAAAGAACCCTTTCTTTAAGGCTTTAAAGAAAAAAGATGGGCAACAGTATGATGGTCCCGGTGGACGCCGCTTTTCACGCCCCAAAGCAGCATGCACCAAATGGCACGGAGCGTCGCAGTCGATGCGCTTGCTGCGTACCGCGCCACGAATGGCGACTGAGCGTGTCAGCCAGCTACGTGACGCCGCCGCTTCTCGGACTGCCACCCGGCGCGATCGTGGCCCAGCTGCACTCACTCGTCGTCCAAGGTGCGTACGTGGGTATCTCGACAACGTCGGCTTCATCCGGTCCCAGCCCAAGTCGGCTGGGTGCTGCATCAAGCTCGAAACGTACGGCCGTCTTATCAACGTTCTTGTACGCAGGCCGTCTACTATGGCATCCTCGGCACCTGCGACGCCATGCCAGGCGACGTTCTTGTGCCCGCCTCCTCGCGCCTATGAAGGCGTGTCTCTTTTTACGAGGCCGGTCTCTGCCGCCGCCTGCATGGTGTCCTCGACCACCTCCCGCGATGCTCTCGCTCGTCGACGGGATTCGGCGCCTGCGGGATCCCCATCAAGTGCATATGCTGTCTCGACTGACCCGTCGACGTGGCGGGCTGCCTTCAACGTCGGACTCAGCGAGGGATTGGCATGCGACGGTCCGGCTCAGCACGCGCAATACATGACGTCCAACCTCGGCGCAGTCTGGGGCTATGGCAGCTGCTTCCGAGTGGCCGTCGTCTTGCTTTGTGGAGCAAGCGACTGGGCCTAGCGCAGAAACGACCGCTGCTGTCTTCCGAAACACTACACGAGTACGCCTTGTCGCGGTTGGATGCAACCTCGTTGCCGTCGTCCACCAACGCGGGCTCTGGCGCTGCGTCGACACGGCCCAGGACACATTTCGAGCGAAACACGTGTGCCCAACGACACCGACACCGACACCGATCTGACGCTATCGCTTCGGCACGCACAGTTGCAAGAGCACGAACACTAGGACCCCGAGCGCCGTCGTTGCTTGGACGCCCTCGGCTTTGTCTCACGGCGCGCAGACCTTGATCAATGAGCGCGCCGACCTCGATCAATGCTGCAACACGGAGCTACGACGGCGGTTGGGAGCGAACGATGACGACGCCTCCGCACCGAGCACTATCGATGCAGTACGAGACGCACCTTTCTTGCAGCCGTGCGACAACCTCTGCCGAACTTGGTTGTCGGTCGGGCCATTTGATTTTCGCACCAGAACAAGAACCTCATGACCACCGACGTTTCAAGCCCCTTTGCCGGGACCGCAGTTCGGTCACGACGTTGAAGCGTCTCTCTACGTTTGCCGCCAGCGAAGTAGACATGCGTCGTTATCTCGTTCGCGCGACAATGCTCCTCCATCCAGGAAGCGCACGAGGAGGACAGCGCCGGCGACGCCACGGCCGGGCGTCATCGCCGAGAGGCCACGTCATCCGGATACGGGTGCCCACTTGGGTGCAATTAGCCTGGACGCAATTTGGGGATTGGACGACGACTGGCGCAAGCAGCATGGACGCCCGCTCGGCCAAGTTCCCGCTCAACAAGCAGCTCGAGGCGCTGGCGGTCTACCGCAAGATCTACGGCGACCTCAGCGTGGGCGACGACTACGTCGTTCCGCCGACGTCGCGCGACTGGCCGGCCGACATGCTGGGCGTCGACCTCGGCAACCGGGCCCGGCTGCTGCGCCAAGCCAAGGTCAAGTTTGAAGCTGAGATCGAGAAGAAGCTCAACGACATGGGCTTTCTCTGGAACCGGTCGCGCCACTATGCGCGCTTCTCCAAGCTCGAGCAACCGGCAGGCTGGATCGTCGTCGGCCGCCCGTGGCACAACATCTTCGACGGCCTCGCGACCTACCATCGACTCGTGGGCCACTGTCGCGTGCCGGGCTCCTTCATCGTGCCATCCGACAACGACACCTGGCCCGTCCCGTCGTGGGGGCTCGTGCTCGCCGAATGCGTCAAGCTCCTCGAGGTCCACATGTACCAGCTGACGCCGCAAGAGTATACAAAGGCCCGATCCCTCGGCTTGCTCGAGCACCTTCCCATGTGGTTCGAGGTCATCGAGCTCTTCGACTTGTACGACGATCTCCACGGCAATGTCGACATCCCCATCGACTTTGACGTGCCGCCACAGCAACCATGGCCGTCGCAGTGGCACGGCTTGCACCTTGGCGAGCTCGCGTGGAAGCTGTGGATCTACGAGAGCTTGCTACCGTCTTCGAAGCGACACGACCTCGACGACCTCGGTTTCGACTTCAACACGACGACGACGTGGGCGCGGACGCTGCAGGCGGCGCGTGTCTTTCTCGAGCTCTTCCAGCACCTTGCGATCCCGCTCTCGTACGTTGTGCCGATGCAGGACGCTTCGTGGCCGACCGAGCTCTGGGGCATGCGTCTCGGCGCGGCCAAGTCGTATTTCGACATTGCTCTGCGCTGGCATTTCCCGACGACAGCGACCCGGAAGGCTTGGCGCGACCTCCTGCACGCCGAGCCGAGCGCGACGCCAGAGCACCGGCGCTTCCGGCTCTTGCTCGTCGGCCTGCACAAGCACCGTCAGTTCTATGGCCACGTCAACGTCCCGCCTGGCTTTGTTATCGGCGCCCAAGACTACCGGTGGGGCGAGACGCTTCCTGGGTTTGCGCTCGGCGATGCGATCGCGTCGCTGCGCCACTCGAAGGACGCGCTGCCGCCGCCGGACGTGGCTGCGCTCAACGACATGGGGTTCATCTGGGACGTGGCCGCCCACGAGGTTTGGGACGACATTATTCGCGTCCTCTGCACGTGGTTCCAGCACTACCCGACGATGCCGCTTCACGATAGGATTGTGCTCCATGAGCACGAGATGTGGCCGTCGCGCATGTGGCACCAGCCCCTGGGTTTCTACTTGACGATGCTCGAGGTCCACGAAGCGTTTGCTCTGCCGGTCTACCGCAGCGAACTTGCAGCGACGGGCTACGATCTAACGAGCCGATGGCGGGCCAAAATGGCGGCGCTTGAAACGTACAAGGCGCTCTATTTGCATCTGCACGTGCCCCGGGACTTTGTGGTGCCGGCGCTCGACGGCTACTGGCCGCCGGCGACGCACGGCCTGCCGCTCGGCCTCATTCTCGAGTGGCTCCGGCGCCTCCGCGACGATATGGACGAGGCCATCGAGGCCGACCTCGACGCGATCGGGTTGGAGTGGGACGCCGTCGACTTTTCGATGCATGCGCCGGCACTGGCTGCGTACACGAAGCTCAGTCGTGGCACCGTGGTTGTGCCGCCGGCGTTCGTGATTCCCAACCGGGCGCCGTGGCCTGTCCACGTCCAAGGTGCCGCGCTTGGCTCCATCGTCCAGAAGCACGATGCGTACCTCGCGGCGATGGACGCGCGCCATGGCGCGACCCTCGAGGCCGTCATGGCCAAGTACACGCCGCCGGCGCCAACGACCGAGGGGCCGACGCAGTGGATCTACGACGTCCGCACGGTTGTCGCGTGCCTCGAGCTCTACAAGACGCTGCACGGCGACCTCGACGTTCCGCTTCTCTTTGTCGTGCCGATGGAACAGTCGCCGTGGCTCCATGACGCCGCGCTCCTCCCGCTCGGCTACCTCGTTGCCCGCTTTCGAGACCGTCTGCCCCGTCTCAAGAAGAAGATCCGCCGCTGCTTGGCCAAAGCCAACGCCTACTCGCTCGCCGAGCTCGAGTTGAGTACGGAGGACATGATGAAGAAGCCCAAGCCGGCACCCATCATCATTCCCCACCCAGCCCTGCCGTGCCCGCAACAAGTCCGGTGGCCAAGGCCGTTCCGATCGTCGCAAGTCCGGCGGCGCAGGTGCCGATCCCCGTTGCAAGCACCACGAGTCAGAACGCTTCCGCTGCTTCATCAGCGCCAGCGGTCGCCGCCGTCGTGCCGCCTGTGACGGTTGCCCCGGCTACCGAGACACCGGCGCCGAAAACGTCCCGCGACCCGAGACAAGCTCCGTCGCCGTCAGCAGCGACGGCGCCCAAGACGCAAGACGCATCCAATGCGCCAGCGCCCCGCGACCCGCGACAGGCTGCGCTATTACGCCGCCGGAGCAGCAACTTGGCGGACGATGCGCCGAAGCAGTCGCCTCTCGACGCATCGCCTTCTCCACCACCGACTCCGTCCGGCGCCCCGCCACCGGCTGTGAAGACAGAGACGCCCGCCGAGTCGCCGGTGAAGTTCGAGACAAAGCCACTGGTAAAAACGACCGACGCACCGACGCCGCCGCCGTCGCGACCAGCCAAGCGCTCGGCTGCAAACATGGAGTCGAGTCCTGGCGGCATGATCGACCTCACACTGGATAGCGACTCGGACGACGACGTGCCGGCACCTGCGCCTGCTGTCAAGAAAGCCAAGACCAGCGCCGTCGTCAAGGATACAAAGCCCAGCCCCGTCGAGCTCAAGACGTGGTCCGTAAAGCCTGTCGCACCCAAGGCGCCAGCCCCAGCCAAGGTACCTGCTCCACCAAAGCAGCCAGCTCCAGCGAAGCCGCCTGCTCCAGCCCAGGCGCCTGCTCCAGTAAAGTTGCCTGCTCCACCTGCGCCGACCACGAAGGCGGAACCGGCGTCCGCTGACGTCGTGACGTTTGATTCGGATCTCTTTGCTGTTGGCGCCATGATCTTCCACGCGCTGCACGGCCACTGTTTGATCGACCCGACGTTTGTCGTGCCGGCCACGGACCAGTGGCCCGAGTCCGTGCGGGGCATGGAGCTCGGCAAGATGGCCAACGCGCTGCAGGAAGGTCGCGCGAAAGTGCTGGACCGCGTCCGCAGCCAGCTGGATCTGCTCGGATTCTTTGAGCCGCCACCGACGCCGAGCTGCACCATCTGAGTATATTTAAGCGGACCATATATGTAGCGTTCCTGGACATTATTGACATCGACTTGTCGCATCAACCACCGCTTCATACGCTTGAAGCCGAACGACTTGATGGATTCGATCCATCCGAAGCGTCGCCTCGACGCTCCTGACAGCGGATGCGCTTGCCATCGTTCGCAACATCAAGCATCTCGAGTCGTCGCCGTCAGAGCGAGCGACGGTGCTGGCCCGCGACGACGACGATTTTGGTGTCACCGGCCTCTTCCAAGTGGCCCCCACTACATGCAAGAGACGGCTCTCCAACCGGGCGTCAAAGCAAACGCTTGGATCGAAGCTGCGCCGCATCGGGTCTTCTCCACCAAAGGAATATTTGATTCCTTGGTCTGGACCGACGACTTGTCACTGTCCAGGAGAGCCCGGCAGTAGTAAGCTTGGTCCATGCTCATGCTAATACCTTGCACTCGTCTGCTAGAGCGTCGGTGTCGTGAGACGTCACGGCTCTCGCCTTGCGAGTCTTGCAGTCGCTCCACGGTGTCTGCACCGTTCCCAAAGCGGTCGTCATGCTAGACAAGAGCACCGACTGGTTTGAAGATCTATGGCCACCCGCTCGGTGAGCGGATGAACCCCGCTTTATCGTTGGCCAGAGCGTTGTACGCGGCGTTACTATGTCCGACAAGGTGAGCTGAATGGCCCGAGCAAGTGCAACAGTTCAGCAGTTGTTGTTGCTGGTCCCGGTCGAAACAAGAAGCAACTCGAGTGTTGACAGCACACGTCCATTTTTCCCGCGCTTTTCGCCGTCCAGTTTTCAACTAATTCACTTAGGTGCGAGACTTGACTCTGTGCGACTCGATGAGGTACGGCGTACCTTAGCGATTCAATACAGTAAACGTCTGCTCCAGCCCCAAGGTACGCTTCGCACTTTACTGGCTCTCCGTGGCCAAAATGATTGACTTGGACCCGCGTGGCATTGGTCAAAATGAGGCCAGGGCTAATGGCACCGTGCTCCGGCATGGCCGGGCATATCGCTAGCTACTGCCTTCTCCCTTTTAGTAACAGGAAGAGCAACCTTACAGAAAGCTCTTCTACGCGCCTCCTCCCAAGAGCTTGAAAGTGAACGGGGCTGTCCCGTTGGCGAAATTTTGCCAACATACACGAAATTGGCCAATGAGACGCAAGAGAATCGTTTTGTCCAATCCGCACGCACAGTAAACGGGCCGACGATGGACAGGTGGATCGACCCCGCGATGCTGCCCAAGACGAGCGAGCGGCTCATGGGCCTCGCTATCTACCGCCGCCTGTACGGCCACAGCTACATACCTGTCGACTATGAAGTGCCCAACGCCGAGCCGTGGCCCAAGGTGCTGCGCGGCAAGCCGCTCGGCGGCGCCGTCAACCTCATGCGTGTCGCCTATCACCAGCTCGGTCCGTGGGTGGAAGTGAGCCTCGAGGGCCTCGGCTTTGTCTGGAGCTCTCCAGTGGACTGCACGCGCGCCCGGTGCTTCATCGCCCACTCCCGCGCCAGGGTCATGACCACTTGGTCTGTCGTCCTCGCCGCGCTCGCCCGATTCCGCGAGCTCCACGGCCACGTGCATGTGCCCGAGTGCTGGGCAGTGCCAAGGAACGATGCCTCGTGGCCAAAAGAGGCGTGGAGTCTCGACTTGGCCCAGGCGGCCCACACGCTTGATGTGCATGCGTACATGCTCCCGACGCCGCAGCTCCGCGCTGCCCTTTCCCTCGGCGTCGTTTGCGACGTGCCGGTCTGGGCCGACATCTTCGACATGTTCAAGCTATACTGCAAGCGCTACGGCGCTGCCGACGTTCCCATCAACTATGTCATCCGCGCGAGCCGCAAGCGCAAGGCCGACGAGTCGACGCCGCCGTGGGCGGCCAACTACGACGGTCTTCCGCTGGGCGAAATCGCAATGCGCGTCTGGCTCGTCTACATTCAGCTACCGTCGCACCGGCTCAACGAGCTCAAGAGCGTTCGCTTCGCCTTTCACACGCATGCATCCTGGGCGACCGTCGTCGGGGCCAAGGCTCTGTTTGCGAGCATCAACGGCCACAATAGCATCCCTGACTGCTACGCCGTGCCGCCCGACGACACGGCGTGGCCACCCGAGATGCGAGGCCTGCGCCTCGGGCACTATCTTCGCTTGCAAGCGACGGCAAACGGCGTGAATCCGCCGCCCACGACAAGGGTCATCGACACCTTCGTCGACGCGCGAGTGCAAGAAACCGAGTTTGACCGGCACGTGCTCGGTCTCAAGATCTACAAGCGTGGCAGCAAGTCACCGGTCGCCCCAGATTTCGCCGTGCCCCGCAACGATGCCCGGTGGCCGCGTCGGATCTGGGGCTTGCGCCTCGGAGACTTTGCCGCCACCCTCCGACGCGACTACGCGTCTCTCTCGGCCCTCCAGCGCGCGACAGTCAACGACATTATTGGTTTCGAGTGGGACCCCGCCGTCGCCAAGTGGTGGCCCGATATCGTCGCGACGCTGACACAGTGGCACGCAACGCACCGTGATCGCGGCTGGCCCGACGCCTTTGTGTTTACGGCCGAGTGGCCAAAGTCCGTCGTCGGAGAGTCGCTTGGGTACATGTTGACGCTGCTGGAGGTCCACGAAGACTTTGCAACGGCAGCGCACCGGCGCACGCTGCGTCGACTCTGTCTCAACGTCGACAACCGGTGGACGACCAAGGTCGCGGCGCTCACGACCTTTTACTCGCTCCACGGCCACCTGCGCGTCCCCCTCGACTACGTTGTGCCGACTACCGGCGAGTGGCCGCCAGGAGCCACCGGCATGCCTCTGGGCTTCATCGTGTCGCTGCTTCGGCGAGTTCCTCCGGCGGTCATAACCTACGTCCAGCGCCGGGAGCTCGAGGCGCTCGCATTCGAATGGGATCTTGCCGCCGAGTCGACGACAGAAGCCACACGACCGCCGTCGGTCGCCGCCGTTGACGTCGCACCTGCCAAAACGGTAGCTGTGGCGGCAGATGACGTCGAGGCACCGCACGGGACCACGGTCGACGGCACGGCGGAAGTTTCCATTAACTGGGCCATGTGGGCGGTCGCGCTCACGCAGTTCAAGGCCCACGAAGGCCACGTCGACATTCCGAGGGATTACATCGTGGGCGCCGACGATGCGCGGTGGCCCGTCGCGCTGCGGTCGTTTCCCGTCGGTCCGATTCTCACCAAGATCCGGTCCCACGTCGTAGTGCCACCAACGTGGGTGCAAAGCCAAGCCCAGATCGTTGGCGTCGACTTGTTCAGTGGTGAGGCGCCAGATAGCAGTTCAAGCAACCCCTAACTATTCTTGAAAATGGCTACTAATGTCTCTATTGAATCTGCTCTCATCCCGTAGGATGTGAAGATTCCATTTCAGAAGCAATGGTGTCGTGTTGGCGGTTAGCCCCCCCACGCACGTCGCTCCGAGTGTACGGGGCCTCGTCCGGTTCGCTGGAGCAAGTCGCGACTCGACCGACTGGTGTGTCTGACGAGACGATCGTCATCACAACGCACGGTCCCAGGATGAATGAAAATACGCAACATGGTTGCAATGGATGCGTTCACTCAACCTCGTCGCCGAAGACGAGGACTACGTGCTCCAAGCCAACGGCGATCCAGATACAGTTCGCAGCACATTCAGCGCGCCAACAATTTCCGCGTTCACAGGTCCACCATGGACCGACGGGTGCTTTAGCTGACTCGGTCTCATCAATGTGCACTTTAAGAGCTTAGCACTGCGCAAGGCTCAACCCAGGCGAGAACACAACGCGAGCTTAGCAGCGCAAAAGCATGCAAGGCAGGTGGAAAGGGGCGTCAAATGGTCGAGTGCCCACCAAAAACTACCTCCTGTGAGAATATATTACATGAAAATCATAGCTTCTTGGCGGCCATCGTTGGAGATACCTGGGACGAATGCGGAGTCTCTCTCACTTCTACGTGGACTTCTTTTCCATCCTCTTGCCGCGTCCCACGGGCACACGCCGCGGGTCGACTTGAACGCAGTCAAGTGCGATCGTCCGAAGGAATAGCTACGTTGCATTGGACCCGGTAGCTTGCCCGATGAGCGGTGTCAGCACGTACGTTGCATTTTTCCGTCGCGACGAGCTCGACCTAATGCGCGCAACCAGATTCTAGCCGAGCGACACGCCGAGACCGTCGCGCTGTCAGCGGTCGTCCGCTGATTGTGCACTGTCATACCGACACCGACGACGCATGGACCCCACAACGCCAAGACGACAAGTCCTCGCGCGATGGCACTTTCTCGGCGTTGACAGGATAGTTCCGGTCCAACGTGGCAGCGCGAGCGACGAGC